GGCGTATCCCTCGCACGGCCTATTGTTTACTGATACTCCTTAGGGATAGAAATCCATCATATTTTTTGCCAAAAAGGTTACAGTTGGCCCGATAGATTCTTTGAAATTGGTCTCGAGAGCCAGATGGATTCTCTTCAATGAATTTTGCCTGTTTCAGTACCTTCTATCCAAAAGTCGATCTATGGATTTAATTCTTCTGAAATTAGTTGGCGAAAGGATGAAATTGTATAAGAAGTCAGAATAAATCAAATTACAATGTCCTCGACATAAAAGGGAATGTACGAGTTGTGCTAGAGTTCCATCTACGAGCTTCCCCTCTATCTTACCCAAGAAAACTTGGCCTAAGTTCTTGAAAAAGCTCCCTTCTGAGGTGGGAAGGGGGAGGAGCACACTTCTTTCATCGTTCACCTTGTTACATCGAAGATGGTTTTTTGGGTGGTACAGTGGAGCTGGTGAAACAGGTGCCTTTCGAATTGGTATGGAGGTGAAGGGTAAAGGATAAGGTCACTCAGTATTGCCCAGGGATGCGCCCCGCATTCTGTTCCAATTCAGAATCGTAGTGGCGTATTGAATGTGTGTGTGACCCATACAATGACTTGCGTGGGCCAGCCCTTATACGAGCCAGTGTTCTAATCTTCCCGACGAGTCTGGTGCCGTTAACGGACCTCGGCGGGATGGAAGGCTTGGTTGGCTCTGATGGATATTGGTTCGGGATAGGAATCGTGACAATGCTCTGTGACAATGCGCCTCTTGTCACTATACCACCTACTCCTAGTGATAGTATCCGTGAATATTCTGATAGTCTGGATTTCTTCCGCAATTTTTCAGGCTTCCATAAAAATACTATGCACTTGTTGGAGCCTAACATGTCGAGGGATATCCTGGTATCGCAAATTGTTGATCAGATTGGGGTTTATATCCGACCTTTCCGTGCCAGGCTGTAAAGCTTTGGGACGAGACATGCACAGGAGCACTTAAAAGGGTCATGAAGTTTGAATTGGTCTTAGCAGTGTACATAGTGGCCGGATTTGAACTTCGAAGGAAGTATATGTCCGAGAATAGCTGGAAAATCCGGCTATTATAGGGCTGAATAAACGAGGAAGAGGGAACCGGATATGTTTTGCACACACGAGCGGGTACTACCCTTAAATAGGAACTCTATGGAGGTTTCCAGGAATTTTTGAGAGAAATCTGGAGTACTACGAAGCTAGTTCGGCAAGTAATTTCCGCCCAGCACAATAGTTTATGGGAATCCTTACGAGAGGAGCGTTGAAACTGTACGTCGTTTGATATTTTGTTGCTCGGTAATTTACTTACTTGTCTTTTGGGTACAATTCATTAATGTTTACTAGCTTTTTTGTTGTTTATTAAGTTTATTAATTGAAAAAAACATTAAGTCAGGTTCGATTTCTTTTCACAAGCGATCAAGGTAGTTGCTTGGTAGCAGCTTCCGGTGGTGGGAAGTTAGACGCCCCATAACAAACCTTGAAATTGAGTTCAGTAAGTACATTCCCCAGAGACATGAGGTACGAATGAAGATGTGGAACGAGACGGGAAATCTCTTCGCTTGTGATGTTCTCTATCAGTAGTTTCCACTGAAAATATTCTTTGGTCTCTGTTTACTAATAATTTTCCAAAAAAGGGCTTCAATACCTTTTCCAGCCCTGAGATTCTGGTCACTGCATCGGTGTTGTCGATGACCATAGCGGCGATGACAGATGGTACAATACCAAAGCGGAAACGTCGTTCTCCAGACGCCAATTTGAAGGTATTCCGAGTGACTGCTTGTGGAGGGGCTGCAAAAATCGCTACCAATGTTCGGCATAGTCACTAGAGAGGAAGATAGTACCAGGAGCTTACCTCTCGTTGCAGGACCTTCTGGTGTTACAACATTCTTACTGAAACGGGCATAGTCTTTTTGTTGAAGAGACGGTAGTGATAGTAAAATTCGTTCGAATGCATTTTTTCCGAGGTAGACTGGAAAAAAGTTTGGTGAGTGGTGGGGTGCGTTAACCATTAAGCCCCTGACTCAGGCATTACCTTCTAGTTTTTTGGCAGTGATGGCAGCATTCTCAGCTGTTTCCGCGTCTGTCGTTCCCATCAGTTTTGTAAGAGAATCGAGCAGATTTGACCAGTCGCTGTTTATTAACTGAAACATGCTCAGACATAGCTGGAAGGAAGTCCAGGGATCCATGTCGAAGTTCAGTTTGCTAAGAAACCATTCAGTGCAGACCCGGGTACCTCACAGTTACGATTATTGCTTGGAGTTTACCTAACTGTAAGCCCCAGTTATGTTTAGAACAACTTACCTCTGGGAGAAACATAGCTGGGAATTCCCGTACAACATCAGCTTTCGTAGTCCGATCAGAAGATGTGAGCAGAAAGTTCGACAAGGTTTTCTGTAAAAGATTACTTTCTTTTCATATAAGTAGTAGTAAATCATCATTAGCCTGAGGCCTCACCAGCATGGAACCGAGAGCTTCTGGTTGCAACCGGAGAAAGGCTTGGAGCGCCTGTATAGAGACCTTCCGGACAGTAATCTTGGAACTTCCAAGTTTTGGAAGTAGATTAGGCATCAGATAGCAGACGCAGTACTCAAGATTCTGCAAATTGTTCATGGTCATTTTTTGTTGAAAGATGCTCGGAGCAGTTTCCAGTTTTTTTGAGCTCCTCACACATCCTCCACAAAATTAACATTCATTTATGTTTTACTTATTGACGGCTTGATTATGCGCTTTTGGACTGGATTGCTATATCCATATAGAGTCTGAACAGCGCTCGAAGGGACAGTTCGCGATAAAAATGGTATCTGAGGTTTTTCTTGAAGATGAACCTTTGACCTCTAAAGATAGCACAAGGGAAGCTGGTAAGAAAAACAACTTGATAGGGCGTGATAAAGGCTCTTGAACCGACCACACGCAAAATGGACGAGTTCTCACAGCGTTGTAGAGACTGTAGTGGTTGCACCATCCGCACCGGGACGCACACATCGCACGCAGGCAGCTTACTGTAGCCAGCTGTATGCAATGGCACACACACACTTAGGTAGTTCGTCCAGATACCACTCCCAAGCAACTTTTGTCGTCACATTCCCGTCCAACCCCTAATTTTACTACCTTCTTACTATTTTAATGATTTTCTAACACTTCCATTAGTCTTCTCAAGTTAGATACCCGAACATTACCTTGAACTCTGCCCTGAATGGGTAGGAAGTACTTATGTAGAACTAAGNCAAGGGAAGCTGGTAAGAAAAACAACTTGATAGGGCGTGATAAAGGCTCTTGAACCGACCACACGCAAAATGGACGAGTTCTCACAGCGTTGTAGGGACTGTAGTGGTTGCACCATCGGCACCGGGACGCACACATCGCACGCAGGCAGCTTACTGTAACCAGCTGTATGCAATGGCACACACACTTGGGTAGCTCGTCCAGATACCACTCCCAAGCAACTTTTGTCGTCACATTCCCGTCCAACCCCTAATTTTACTACCTTCTTACTATTTCAATGATTTTCGAACACTGCCATTAGTCTTCTCAAGTTAGATACCCGAACATTACCTTGAACTCTGCCCTGAATGGGTAGGAAGTACTTATGTAGAACTAAGGAAAAAGTTTCTCAACTTAAATCATCGGTAGACAACAAATCACCCAGTTCCATTGCCCCATTCATTGTAGAAATTCTGAGAAAAAGCTTCTGCATTCAACCCGAGCTCTGGTTTTTCCTATTCTGATTCAAAATTTGTAGTTGCCTACAGTAGACACTCATTTCCGTCTTTTCATCAGTATTGAAGTGAACTCACCGATCCGAAAGTAGGCATCGCTTCATAGAGGAATTTGATACATTGATGTTGTACTTCCCAACGATCATCCATCAAAATCCTATCGATATTCTTGAACAGTTCTCCTTTTCGAGCACAATGAGTGAACCAGTCAGGATCCCGTCGGGAAAGTCCGCCCAACCGATTGAGTGTCTGAATAAAGCAGGAACGTCAGGCGATGCCTTCTCCCTTTTCAAGAGACCCGGTACTTATTCAAAGACTCTTGAACCGCGATTTGGACGAAAGTTTTGAACGGAACCAAGTCTCAGACGTTCTTAAATGTTGGGAAATGAAGAGTGTGATGGTCTTACGTGGGAGTTGGAATTACTTTCGCTTCTTCCTAGGGCTTCTTGACCTTGGGTTATCTCGACCGACCGTGGTTAAGATAGATGAATTTCCAGATCCCACCGCCTCACAAAAATTACAGTGGGTATTAGGGAGGGGTTGGTGAGAGAAGGGGAAAGGCAGGGGATAAGGCAATTCGAACTCTTTTGGGTCGGAAAGATCCAAGAAAGTTCGAATTTCCCTCTCTCCTGCCTTTCCCCTCCCCCACGTAGATCTCTCCATCAGCCGTCTTTTTACCCGACACTATCACGAGGCAAAGGAAATTAGCAGAGAAGAGATGGTTTGATGGGAAGTTCCAGTTGTTCCTCTTGTAAAATTTAGTCATGTCTTCTTGTAACATTGGTCCTAAAAAATCACGGGATATATCAAAAATAAAAATTAGAACTAATTTGAACACGATGAGTTTTGGGATTGGTTTCTCTACGTAACTCCCATGAGCCCATACTCACCTGAAGTCGGATATCAAAATCGTTGCTGCGCAAAAGTTCGGCGTAGTCATCATCTCGAGGCATAAACGCAGGCGACGGAAGGCGGTCAGGACGAAGAGGCATCGGATCCAGCAATGAATCCATGACGGCGATCCTAGACATGAAGGGTTTTTGGCATTTTCTTGGCTCGACTCAAACAATAGACACATAGAACGAGTAAAATTTGCTATACAAGGATGATAGAGACAAAGCTTTTCGGGTCGATCAAGACGTTTCGATATCCTCTGCGATGAAGTTGCTGCAGGAGGTTAAATTTAAAGGTAAACGGTGCAGAGTGAGGCCGAGGATGCTTTACGGTATCGGTGCTGGTCCAACCGATGAATCGTAACTCCGCAAAGAGATGAACGGAGATCGGCCTGTGGTCGGGGGCGAGTGGGCTGCATCCCTGAGGAAGGCGCCAGGATAGTCATACAAATGGTCCCTGAGCACCCGAAGATGAGTAAACAGCGGTAGTTATGGACACTTGCTGCAACGGACACGAAGTTTCTCAGTGAGGTAAGTGAGTGGATTTCGAAGCACAAGCAAAATAACCATGGTGTTTCCCGAAGTAAAGGTGGTGGGATCTGATCAAGAAGAGCCTCACCGAAATCAAAGTAAAGGCAGGAGTTGGTTGAAATGGAATGAAATGACGACGACAGACATGAACAGCAGGTTCTGTGACTGCATAGGATTAACGCTATGGCAAAGAAGAAATCAGTGTTTTGGAATGCGCTACGCATGTTGCTTCCATTTAAAGTGGTGCCCGAGGCAATGGGAACTTATGGTTAGTTGGCATAGATGGGTGTTCGGTCTCGAATTCGATCTCCTGTCTATACCGGGTAGTAGTGCGCCATTTACCTATTGTTGGCTATACGTACTCCACATCTCCCACACTCACCCCTCCCAAGAGGAGATGGGCAGTAGGAACGGTTTTGTGTAATCGATTCGTCGCGCACGCGGCTGTCGCGGACCATTTGCCTCATTGTAGCAGTCCTGGAGTTCTTCATACAGCTCAATCACTATGCGACTATTACTTTCAGCATGATCCTACTGTTAGTTGTTTTGTTCCTGAATTTTTTATTTGCTGGTGCATTGTGCTACATTCCTTCGCGCGCGACATTCTCTCGCCGCGACGCGACAGTTTCGTTCCTACTGCACCACACACCCTCCCAGATACTATAACCAGTAATTTGGTTCAATTTTTCGCTTGTTTTAGATTCATGTGTAACTCATCATATACGACAAGCAAAGGATGGATGCATCTGTATAGTGTTTTATTTTGCATGCTTTTTATCCAACAATCTGCTCATTTCAAACAACAAAAGACAGGTGCATTGGATTTTTTTGCAAATATTATTAAAATTTTCTGCATCGAAAAGCACCATAATTACTTTAGAAAACTCAAATCCTAATAGAAATACACGAAGCTGAATACAAGATCTTTTGCAGAGATTGGCCAAAATCTTTCCGCCTGTAGCAGCTGTTTTTGAATATGAAATCACTTGGGAGGGTCACAAAACTCCAATTTCTCCCAGATGCACCGAATATCTCAATACCAGAAGTCACAGAATCTTTCAGTCGAGATGCTTTGTTTTAGGAATACCAGTTAATGGAAAATGAAATAGATCTCCTCAAAGAGTGTGAAGAATCCGAATGAATGGGACAACCTAAAAGGGCAAACATTTGTAGTCTCACAGAAATTCTTTTATCAAGTACCCGTAAGGATACGCCCCTTTAGAGAAAAAACATTTCCGAGGAGGTATTAGGTTACTGAATTAATTGCTTATTTGAAAAAGCTTCGAAAATATCTTTCTAGCAGGTTTTTCGACTCCTTCCTAGCATCAATCCTCCGCCATCACAGGGCTCGCTGGCCTTGTGTGTGGGTGTTGTCTCCAATCCCTCCTCTTTGCGGCATCTCCTTCCTAACTTTAGTCCTGGCAAGGTCCATTTTGATTAAGCATTGCCCTTATTTGAAGCTCCTCGCGTTCGCTTTTTCCAGCGTCAAACCCCATTGCTTCCCTCATCGGCTGCCTGGTGTTCTTTTCAGTGCATGCTCATGTCATCACAATACTGCTATCCACTCCGTCCGTCCCCCCCCCCCC